GAAAGAGCCCTTTGTTACCTACAACACCTCCATAAAAAAGGCCAAAATTCTGCCTCGTGTTTCTTCTTCAGTTAGTTCCATGTTACATGTAGTCTCTATAACCATTATTACCATAAAACTTAAAATTATAGAATATATATGTGTATATATAATATATGTATATGTGTGTTTGTGTGTATATATATTAACCATGGCAGAGATAATAAGGAAGCATCATGGAGAGCTTCTCATTTCATTGCTAGGCTCTCCCTCACGAGTCACAACACAAAATTTTATAAAAGCCCCCGTTGACAAAAAGCTAAAAAAATAAGTAATATCCAGACAGAGGTAATTAATTTTCTAATACTATTCTATCTCTAACTACTTCTACTTGTACAGCGCGCTTCTTTGAGAAACCAAAAAAAAAAAAAAAGAGAGAGAGAAGATAAAAAAATAATATTATTATTCTTTCTTTTCCTAAGTACTAGTTATTATGAGCCTCGTTTGGCTTGCCTATTTAAGAAGATTACATGCCAGCACTTTCTTCTCATTCCTGTCTAGTTTTCATCATCCCCACGTTTCCACCTCAACTTCTTCTCCTTCTTCTTTGTAATATATTCTCTAAATCCGTCTTCTGTTTCCTTTTTCTGCCAAAGCCAATCCAGCATTGTATCAGTTATTATTTTCCTTTCCTCAGTAGTTTTCAAGATCTTCTCTTAAGTACTTCTGCAGGTTTAAAGATTGTGTTTGGGAAAAAAAAAAAAAAAAGATGTGGCTACTTTTCATTGGAGCTTTGGCTGTTATAAGCATAACACATTGGGTTTATACGTGGATGAATCCAAAGTGCAGTGGGAAACTACCACCGGGGTCAATGGGATTCCCACTTTTGGGAGAGACCCTTCAGTTCTTTAGTCCCAACACTTCTTTTGATATTCCTCCTTTCATCAAGCAAAGAATTAAAAAGTAAGTTTTTCCTATGATGCCTTTTCATGTTCTAAAAAAACCCTTTTGATCATGGCCTTCAAATATGTGTGTGTATATATATATATGTGTGTGTGTGTGTGTGTGTGTGTGTGTGTGTGTGTGTATGTATGTATTTGTTAATGGCAATATTGATTTGTGGTTTCAGGTATGGAGCAATATTCAGGACTAGTTTGGTGGGAAGACCAGTTGTGATATCCACAGATTCTGATCTTAATTACTTCATTTTCCAACAAGAGGGACGTTTGTTCCAAAGCTGGTATCCAGAGACCTTCACCGAGATCTTTGGGAAGCAGAATGTGGGGTCCTTACATGGTTTCATGTACAAGTACCTCAAGAACATGGTGCTCAATCTCTTTGGTCCTGAAAGCCTCAAAAAGATGCTTCCTGAAGTTGAACAAGCGGCAAATGGAAAATTACGACAATGGTCGAACCGGGGTGTGATCGAATTGAAAGAAGCAACTGCAAGGGTAATTAGTTTTGGACTAACTAAATATTCTTCTTTTCATAGAAACTCAATCATCAATGTGTTGATGTTCTTCTAAGTCTGATTGTATAACTGGCATCTGCAGATGATATTTGACTTGACAGCTAAGAAACTGATCAGTTATGATCAAGAGAAATCGTCGGAGAATCTACGGGAAAATTTTGTTGCATTCATCCAGGGTTTAATCTCTTTTCCTTTGAACATTCCTGGAACAGCTTACAACAAATGTTTAGAGGTAATAAATCAAAAAGCTGTATCTAAAGTCCCTTTTTGGTCTATTATATTGGCCTTGACCCCTTTATATATTATTTATTTATTGATCTCAGGGTCGAAAAAGGGCAATGAGAATGCTGAAGAAGTTGCTACAAGAAAGAAGGGAAAACCCCAAAAAGCAGCAAAGTGATTTTTTTGACTATGTCCTTGAAGAACTTCAGAAGGAGGGAACAATTCTCACTGAGGCAATTGCTTTGGATCTAATGTTTGTTCTTCTCTTTGCCAGCTTTGAAACAACTTCCTTAGCCTTGACTTTAGCCGTTAAGTTTCTCACTGACCATCCTCTCGTGCTAAAGAAGTTGACGGTATGTAAACATGCATACAAAACCTTTTTTCTTTTTTTTTTCTTTTTTTTTTGTCATCTCAATTGACATGCTCTTAATATTGTCTACCTTATTCCAGGAAGAGCATGAGATGATACTAAAAAACCGAGAAAATGCCGATTCTGGAATCACTTGGAAAGAATACAAATCAATGACATTTACAATTCAGGTGAGAAACAACAGATTTTCACTTCATTGCTTTAAAGAAAATTTTCAGAACTTTTTTTTTTCCTTTTTTTTTTTTTTATAGTAGTTCTCTTTAGTAAACTGAAAATTTGAACTTTCAGGTCATCAATGAAACAGTCAGACTGGCTAATATAGTTCCTGGCATCTTCAGAAAAGCACTCAGAGATATCCAGTTTAAAGGTATGTCCAAATTCTACGTTCTTTTTTTTTTTTGTTTTTTTTGTTTTTTTTGTTTTTTTGTTTTACTTTCCAGTTAGATAGTATCCTAAGAATTATAAATGGTCATATTTTACCATTTAATTTTGAGATAGTAAAATTATTGGTGTCAAATACAGGATATACCATTCCAGCAGGTTGGGCTGTTATGGTCTGTCCACCAGCTGTGCATTTGAACCCAGCAAAGTATGAAGATCCACTGGCCTTCAATCCTTGGAGATGGGAGGTAAGCCATTTATGACAAACATCTATATATATATATATATACATATATATATATATAGCTAGATTTGATCTTAACATTTTTTCCTTGCTTGTGTGGAAAACATGGTAACATTCCAGGGAGTGGAATTAAATGGTGCTACAAAACATTTCATGGCTTTTGGCGGTGGCATGAGGTTCTGTGTTGGAACTGAGTTTACAAAGGTGCAAATGGCAGTGTTTCTTCATTGCTTGGTAACAAAGTACAGGTACGATTGTGTTTCAATATTAGAGAGAGAGAGAGAGAGAGAGAGAGAGAGAGAGAGAGAGACTGAGAGACTAACTAGTTAATATTTGAACCTTTTTCAGATGGAATGCAATTGGAGGAGGAAATATAGTCAGGACTCCTGGTTTACAACTTCCAGATGGTTACCATGTCCAAATGGTGGTAAATGATAAAGGAGAAAGGGAACAACATGAAGCTTAAACATGATCAATCAAATTTTACGGCCAACTGGAGAAAAAAGATTACCAATTGATAACCAAGACGGAGTTCACTCTCAAGCTGCAAAAAAAGTCAACAATACTATTCGGACAATGTACAAAGAGAGCGGCTTTTCCTGGTCACTCCTAAAGCAAAGACCGACCGACCTATAGTTTTGCCCCCGATCAGATTTGACAGTTTTGTTTCCTCAACCAAAATTAGTCTCAGAAAAATGTAGCTTCATGGCACTCTAAGCTCTGAGGCACACAACACAAATTTGTCAAAATGAAGATTTACTTGTTACAGTCATTGTAAATGATATAATACATGTGTTTTTCTATTTTAATTTGAATCTTCGAGGGGAGGGGGGGAAGCTACTTCTTCAGTATTATATCCGTTTCTCTGTCCTTTCTCTGCTTGTTCTGGCCTACATTGTCAACCAAATTCTGCATGACACGTGTATTTCGAACGCGCCCCTGCTTGAGTTTCGCCTTGTGAACATGATGGAGATAGTAATCATAATCAGCTTCCCTCTCAGAATGGTTGTGCCTGTGATCATTGTGGATGCTTTTTCTCCTATGATGATTGCCGGACTTGTGATGATGCCTTGTTCCATGCTTCTGACTATGTTTGTTGACATGAATGTGGTGGTGATGGTGGTGGTTGATATGAGTTCCATGCCTTTGAATATCCCGAATACCGTCGTCATCAGTCCAACAATGATTTTCCCACCAATCATAAATAGGATCAAAGAGTCCCTTCTGGTGTAAAAGCCATAGTAGAACAATCACTGCAGCTCAAAAGGACATTGTAACTTTGTCATTCTTCTAGGAAAAAACAATTCAAATGGAAGTTTACTTCACTGATAAAGAAAAGAATGTTACCTGTTGGAAAGATTGCCAAAAACAGACCAAACATCACTATCCAACTCATGCATATATATTGGATGTGGCATTTGAAGTCAAAAAATCCATAGCATTTTCTTCTGCCAAATAAGAAAAGGATAAATGTTTTGACTAAGCCACGGGCAGGAAATGAAAATGAGAAATAAATGCCTAGAGAAAATAACCTGCAAGTTTTTCCAGTAATGAAGGCTGTCAATCCTCTCCACACATCATTCCAAATGCTTGCTATAGTCTCAAAGAAACCACTTATGCCTTTCTTTGGTGGATGAAATGGAGTATTCTGCACCAAATGAATGACTTCACAGGATCTATAGGCAATCATAGAGGTCAAACTGAATACAAAAATGGTTTCGGGGTAGAGGGTGGCATTATTAGATAACTGATATGAGCTAAGTATCCCCACGCGGTATATGGATCTCTCATGAAGTGGATTACCCATACAAAAGGTGAAGTCAGAAAAATTTTTCAATCGGTCACTATAAAAATAAAAAATAAAAAATAAAAAAAGAAGAAAAGAGAGAATTTTTATTAGACACGAGTATAACTTATAATTATTCAAATGGAGCACAAATAGATTTTATTCTCATAACAAAATGTAAGTCTCAAAAATTGAGTGGGGCATGTACACCACTCTATCTGACGTGGCTCCATCACAAGTACATACTACCCTAACTAATATAGTGGGACTAACTCAAACTCAAAACTTTGTCGAGAAATATGAACAACCTTACCGACCTTGCTTTATATAATGATGATGAATGCACATACCTGTGTTCCATTGTCAAGGACAGTTGAAGTTGTAGCAAATTGGCACTCGGCTCTATCCACCTCATTATAATCAGAGTCCTTAAGTATAGCTGTATTTAAACCTCAACCATTAATCTAAGATCTCGTTCTCTATATGATAATTTTGATATTTCATTAATCACTATTAGTCTTACCTGCACATACATAGTTTGCAGCTTGATCAGTTGCTGGGTAGAGCTTAAATGATCGGATTATCTCTTCTTTAGGCTTCATAATAAAGAATTGTTCCTGTAAAAAAAATGTGTTTGCATGCATTCGTGTGTATGTGTGTGTATATATCCTTCATCAAAATCCTTCCCCTTCATTTCAATGCAAAACGCAATAAATGTTCAATAGGAGACAAGATATTGGATTAATAATACCTCCATAAGCGTAACATCTTTGGAGCAATCAAACTGCAAGATAGGAAAAACCATCACAGCTCAAATGATGTGTTCCAGCATACGATCGTTAAGAATAAAGCTCATATACATATAAATATATATATACATATATCTATGTTTATATAATTTGGGTTTTCTATAGACGCTAAATCCCAATAGTATGACTAGGTACCTCTAAGAAGTAAGGAAGTTCATTTAGCAGTTTAACAGTTCAGAAGTACAAAATTAGATAGAACGCAAGATTGAGTTTGAACTTGAATTTAAGGCTAAAATCTGAGTTCAAGTCCCCTATTGAACTCAAGTTCCTAAACTCAAACTCAAGCTAATGAACAATATTTTCTCTATTTTTAAAAACGTCAACTTTTTCGTTTTAATTTCGATTGAGGTGATTCTTTTTCTATGCGTACACAACGAAAAGACAAACAATACCACACCCATATACCATATTAAAATTTTCCATGATCATTGAGTTTTTATTAAAATACTATCCAAAAACAAACTTAAGTTCTGACCCACCCAAACACAAACTCAAATAGATTCTCAATTCAAACCATAACCCAAATGTGCATATCCAAACACAAACTCAAATTAGATTCCCAACTCAAACCATAATCAAATACACCGTAACTCAAATCAATATTTGAACTCAAGTCACCCTAACTTTAAAAGTGCAAAAGAACAAGCCCTAAATTTTTGTTTCTTAATCAAACCTAACTTAGAAATTTTAGATTCAAAAATAAAAGAGAAATACTAACATACAGAAAAAGACAGAAAGAGTAACACTAGCATTTTTCAAAATAAAATTCTAAAAGAAAAATAAAAAATCAACAGAAATACCGTTAACCCATACGATGCCTCCACTTCCCCAGTATTCTTCGTTTTTATTGTAGCAACCCCAAATTGAGAAAGGGCTTCAAATGTTGGAATGTTAATGCTTAAAATCTTCCCAGGGCTCCTAAAAAAAGAGAAAGCAAATAAAATAAAATATTATAAAATGGATAAAGTAAACCAAGTATAGTGAGGAATATATTACGGAAAAAATCTCAAATAAAATGGACGAGAAAAAAAAATAGAAGACAGAGAGATTAACCTTTGATAAACATATTCTACATCGTCAGCACTTAGTTCTATCAAGAGATTTGTATTCAGAACTTCAGTAACACCTATGGAAAAGGAATGAGTCCCTGCATTCTAAAGAAGAAAAAAAAAATCTGTCAAAATAATAATAATAATAACTCCACAAAAAGAAATCCTTTCAAATGCAAGTCTAGTTTTTGAGACATAACTGGATGCTGGTTTATCCTTTCAAACCTTCCTTGGACACCATATAGTGGCAGCTGCTTTCTTCTAATTCTGTTCTGGTCAGCCTGTGAACAACTTCCAAGTTTCTTGGTCAAAATGTTGAAGAAAAATTACTTGAAAATCAACGGAAGTCATAAAATAAAGAATTAATTAAAAAAAAAGATTTTCCAAACGTAATTTATATATGCTAACCTCCCAGAAATTCCACAGCTGATTATGAAGGCAACTCAAAAAGGGCGAAGAGCAGAAGTTTGGCTGGTCATTAAAAGCCTCATAACCAACACCAATTTTGTTACATTCTGTCCCATCTAAGGTAAATCTTAGTCTCTCAAGCAGCATCCACATTGAAAAGTTCCCTCCTAAGCTCTGTGGTTGACCAGGTCCCCCCTTCCCACAACATAAAAATATATCATCTGATTTTATAATGCTAAATATAAACATAGTTAATGTAGGAGCGACACAATTCCATCCGTCTCAAAAGTTATAATTGAAAACACAACCAAACCTTTAAACACCACCTAGGTACCCTGGATCAGATTTGAGAATGCAGCTCAATCTCTACCCGTTTAAACCCTTCTTTCAAGGAGTTCCTTACGAATTCATGGGAGTACCCAACAGATAGACTTATGACTTCTCTGAAGTACAAGCCAAGTAAACCAACTCTCAAGTTCAAATATGATTTTGCATCAATAGTTAGTTTCACTTCTATCCCTCAACCTATAGTGGTCTTCTCAATTTCCAACTCTTTTTTATTGCCCGAACTTCAATTTACCACACTTGCAGTCCTTAAATTTTGAAATTTGTCTTTGTTTAATTGCACCTCTTGTCACATTCCGACAACTTTTCGGACCTAATTTTACCAACTATGAATGTCATAAATTGAGAATAAGGGATGAAATGAGAAGACCAATATAATCTAGGGGGAACAAGTGAATACTGATAAATTATTCTATATTTAACTTGTAACATGTTACTGAAGACGTTTAATTATTCCATATTTGACTTGTAACATGTTTAATTGCACCTCTTGTTACATTCCGACAACTTTTCGGACCTAATTTTACCGACTATGAATATCATAAATTGAGAATAAGGGATGAAATGAGATGACCAATATAATCTAGGGGGAACAAGTGAATACTGATAAATTATTCTATATTTGACTTATAATATATTACTGAAAATGTTTAATTATTCTATATTTGACTTGTAACATGTTTTAATTGCACCTCTTGTAACATTCCGACAACTTTTCGGACCTAATTTTACCAATTATGAATGTCATAAATAGAGAATAAGGGATGAAATGAGATGACCAATATAATCTAGGGGGAACAAGTGAATACTGATAAATTATTCTATATTTGACTTATAATATATTACTGAAAATGTTTAATTATTCTATATTTGACTTGTAACATGTTTTAATTGCACCTCTTGTAACATTCCGACAACTTTTCGGACCTAATTTTACCAATTATGAATGTCATAAATAGAGAATAAGGGATGAAATGAGATGACCAATATAATCTAGGGGGAACAAGTGAATACTGATAAATTATTCTATATTTGACTTATAATATATTACTGAAAATGTTTAATTATTCTATATTTGACTTGTAACATGTTTTAATTGCACCTCTTGTAACATTCCGACAACTTTTCGGACCTAATTTTACCAATTATGAATGTCATAAATAGAGAATAAGGGATGAAATGAGATGACCAATATAATCTAGGGGGAAAAATTGAATACTGATAAATTATTATATATTTGACTTATAACATGTTACTGAAAATGTTTAAATATTCTATATTTGAATTGCAACATGTTTTATTGCACCTCTTGTTACATTATGACAACTTTTCGGACCTAGTTTTACCAATTATGAATGTCATAAATTGAGAATAAGGAATGAAATGAGATGACCGATATAATCTTCGGGGAACAAGTGAATATTGATAAATTATTCTATATTTAACTTGTAAAATGTTACTGAAGAATACAATAAAGGAAAAAAAATAATACTTGTCTTGGTATCACAAGGTAGAAATCTTCGAATGATGGTATATTGGTATAACCAACAAAATCTCCAATCATATTAACTCTTAGGAAATTATCATTTGATGTTACTGTCCTATTTTCAGGACCCACAAACACTTCCTAGCAAACAAAAGACTACTGTCAGCAAGCCAAAAATATATATGGTTGTCAGAAGAAAATAAATGCAAAATGTACAAGCCAGCCTTTATATATCTATATATATATAAATATATATCTATATATATATAAGGACAATTTATGTTCAAAAACAACATACCGAAATTTTAGATCCTGTCTTCACCTGGATCTTGACACTGAATCCCAGAGATCTCTGTCCAATACTGAAAACATGGAACCTATATGGATTGAAGACAATATTACTTTTCTAATAACGTTATATTAATTAATAATCCAAATGTTAATTAGATATATCCTCATGGAAAAAGGTAATTAATTTAATCCGAAGAATTAGAAGGTAATATGTAAGGACCATACCAATCACCTGGGAAACGGAGACAGTGTGCAGTGTTAGGCTTCCCCTTCATCCACTTATCAACTAATGAAGACAAATTCAGAATTAGTAATTAATCACTTAAGGAAGAATCTCACAACTAAACTTTTAAATGTTAAAAAGAAAAAAGATGAACTTACAAACGTTTCCACACGATGAAGGCATACGCCTTTGGGGCCCACAAGGACAACAGATTGGCTGTGGATTAAGGTAAGGAAAAAGAAAATGCAATAGAAAAATAAGTAGAAGTATTGAGCAAAATAATAATAATAATAATAATAAGTAGAGTACAGAAAGAAGCTTAATTTAAAAGGAAATGAATCTGGATGTCACCTCAGTGTGCTCCATAATGTGACCATTTTCATCTCGCAACCTACACAGCAAATATAATTATGATTTTAATAAGTTTTGACAGTTTGGTAATTCATAAATTTTTATAACTATAAAAAGAAATAACATCTTTATCTGTTATTACATGACATTCTTTGATTAAAAAAATTAAAGCATCTAAATCCACTAAAGAATTTTTTTTTTCCGTTAGTAATATAGAAAAAAAAATTATGCGGTTAAAAATTGGTGTGCTTATACAATCTCACACTACGCACTTTACGAAACCCGTTAACACTGTCAAGGCAAATAGACCATCAAAGTGGGACTCGAATCCACTTTGGGGGGGTTATAATGGGGTCGATTTAAACATTTCCTTCAGAATTCCATTTGAAACATCAAACAGCTTATATATATATATATATCGCTGATTCGAGTTTTTAATTCGAGTTGAGATGTGATTTTATGTGAGAGCTTTTTACTGTAGCAAAAAAGTTAGATGTGATTGTTTATGAGAGCTTTTTATTGTAACAAAACTCGAATTCTAAACTCGAATCAGCGAAATGAACGGGGCCTTAATATATATATCATCTTCTACAAGTGTTCCAGACTAAAGGGTAACATCTTTCAAGTACTAAGAGAACAAGGAAATTCATGGGAATAAAGATGAAAAGATTTTAGCAATATTTGGAGAGAGTTTTAGAGAGATTGCTTACCTCTCACATATCTTCACAACTTTTGCACTAGCTTCTGGCTCACATTTGCGTGTCTTAACGTAATACTCTTCCGGTTTATATGACACGTCCTGTGGAAAAATAAAACAATACTGAAATAATAGCCCATTTATTTTTCGGATTTGAATTATGAATCAAATTCTTTTTATTACGGTATTTTATTTCTGTTTAAACTTATGAATCAAAGACAAAGGATTTTTGGATTTCACACCCGCTGATTCAGTTACAAACCCTAATATATTTATGCAAAACATATAGTAAATTATAAGCATAAATTAGCAATGAAGAAAAGTTTTTTCAGTAACAATGTATAAGTTACTTACTCGAATATATGTAAGCTCATAAAGGGCATAAGCAGCAGATTTGTTGACCGTCAAAACCGGTGGAATTCTCAAAGTTTGCATCTTTTGTGTCGAATTCTCTTCCACTTCCACTATTTCAGCAACAATTGAGGCCTCTCCACCACTCTGTTAAAATTAATACATAATAATAATAATAATAATAAATAATAATAAAACACTAAAAATAATAAAAATGAAAAATGAGAAATTTACCGAGCCACTTGGAACAGCCAAGTTAAGAACAATCTTTTTGTTGCAATTGAGGTTGTCGGAGGTTGAATTCTTCTGGCATTTCTCGAGCTTTGACTTTGAAAGAATCTGAACCCCAAACGTGACTTGCAAAGCGACCAAATTACCCAGAAACCAAATCACTGAGACAATATGCTTATTTACTGTTACTCCAAAATCCCGCTTATGATTTTGCATTCTCATTCCTTCTCTTTTTTTTTTTTTTCCCCTTTGCTGTCTTCCAAAAACTTCGTTTGGTTCTAGAGAAATACTAGTTGAGAACCAGTGCGTTGCTGCAGAAAATATTATTGTATTATATAAAAACTTTGAAATTTTTATAGTACAGGATTGGTTTATTCATACATATATACATAAAGACATATCTATATAATATGCTACTTAAAAGTTTTTTACAATGTATTATAGGTTTTGTTTGTTTTTTTTTCTTCTGTTCTTCTTAAGTGCAAAATATAAATTAAAAAAAAATTAATAGTAATAATTAAAGAAGTTGAAAATCTTTAATTATATGTAGTGTAAATAAAAAAGAAAACATATATATAGATAATAAGTTTTTGGGATCAACTATTGAAAATTATTCTCATAAAACTTTTCCTATAATGATGTTTCTTATCATCTAAGAAATGCAAATATCTATTTTTTGTATCTTTTGAAAATGCAAATACAATATTGTAGAATAATGAAGTTGGATATTATCTCATCTCTACAAGCATCATTGTTCATTGAGGAGGTATATGACATGACAAATAGGGATTAAAACAAAGGTCAACAACCATGAACCAACATAGAATCTCAAAGGGCCTTTGGTACATAGTAATTAATAAGAATCATATTTTTGAGAAAGTGATTGGGTAATATGATTCTCAAGAATAATACATTATTATGTTTGGTTCCATACAAAAATCTTATATCAAATTCTAAAGAATAATACATTACTATATTTAGTTGTGCATGAGAATGTTGTGTATTAAAAAAACAAATTTTTTTTTAAATAAATTACAATTAGCCTAATTTTTTTAAATGAATTACAATAAAAAAAACATATGCGCATTGATGGGGAAAAAAGAAATAAGCATACTGATTATAAAGAAAAAATTCAGCCATTTATATAACGGATTCAACAAGAAATATATTCAACCAAAGGCAATGGCCATCATTAACGAATTCAACAAGAAATAGAATCAACCAAAGGCAACGACATTATTAACAGATTCAACAAGAAAAATAGAGCTATTTTCTACAGTGTAGAAAAGAACATTCACCCACCTTATTAACAACGCTGATATTGGTTTTTAGGATATTTCCTTTTTTTATAACAAAAAAAAGGGTACTCTAGTCTACATTAGAACTTGATAAACATGAAGGCATGACCGTGGTAGGAGTGTTCAAAAAACCGAAACCGACCAATACCGAACCGCCAAACTGACCAAAAAAAATTGAAAATTCGGTTCCACGTCAACAAACCGACTAATTCGGTCGGTTAACCGACCGCCCATGGTTCATGGGCGGTTCGGTTTCCGTTTTACCAGCCGAAAAGATCAGTTAAACCGAACCGACCGACTAATTTAAAAAAAAAAGTTATTATCCATATATTCGAACCTCTAATCTTGTAGATGGTGAATATAAATCCATCATTCAAAAGAAGTTAGACCTCTCTAACTTATAAGTTGTGATGAAAAAATGAAATACATAGCCCTTTATATAGAATAGTTGAGAGAATACATTCTCATCTCTTTTCAATGTGGGACTTTCAAAGTCTCATATCAGACTTTTGAAAGTCCCACATTGATAGAATTTTTTAGAACCATTTTTTGTGACAACACATGTCATCGCAAAAACAGTCGTTCTGAAAAGAATTTTTTGGAACCATTTTTTGCGACGATTTTTCAATATGTCATTGCAAAAAATAAAGAAATATCTAGAACCTATTCACGGCCACATCACCGTCAACTGTAAGTATCAATATTTTTGACGACATGTCATCGCAAATAATGGATAAATTGGCGCCAAAATTGTTGGCGCCATATTGGTTTTGGCGCCAATGGCTATTAGCGACGACATTGCATCACGAATAATGTGTCAAATTTTAGCGACGATACGTCATCGCAAATAGTGAAATTTTGTGCAACGACATGTCGTCACAAATATTAAATGCGATGACAAGTCGTTTAAAAATTTTGTTTTCTTTTTGGCGACGACATGTCGTCTCTAATACTGTAATTTTAGCAACAATAAATGTCGTCATTAATAATCCTTTTTGTTGTAGTGAGATGAAGTATCACCGGCAGTATAGTCAATTTTCGAGCTAGAAATTAGACCAGACTGAGAACATTTATCCTCCTCCATCATTTTGGTGGCGAAAATCCTAACTATTACACAAACTTTACTAACTTATAGAATCTATATTACACACACACACATATATATATATATATATATATATATTCTTAACACGCAAACTTGCATGTAGAATCCTCAATGAATGAAATTATTTGTTTTCCATTGCAGGTTGAGAAACCTCAAGCTTCAGTGAAGAACAAAGCAACTTCTAGTTCCCGAGATCGACAAGAATAAAGAATCAATCTCTCTCCGGTTCTAATATTATTCCTAATGTAATAGTTTTGGTGCACTGTTTAAGAATCGCGGTCGTCGTCGTCAGTGGTTCTTAACGAATTTAGTATTTTACTATTTCCTATGTACGAAGGTTTCTATAATGGAAATCATAAATTTATGTGTTAAATTCTGCGCGATTAACAGGCAATAATCGGATCCAAAATCTAGAACACGACGAAAAAATTTTCAAAAAAGGAAAAAAAAAGGAACAGAATCATAAATAAAGAGTGGAAAAAGAAAAGGAAAAAAGTGAAGAAACGAAAAGGAAAAAAGTGAAGAAACGAAAAGGAAATAGGAGAAATCTGAGAGTCTGACCTTAGGGATGGGAATAAATTCTGAATCTCGGTTGAATCTGAGACTCTAAGGGCTTTGATCCGAAGTTGATGCTGATGAGAATGAATGAGACAGTTTGTGCATTTATAAAATGAGAAATAGAAACTAAAAAAGAAGAGGCGGGAAAATTTTTTCTTTTGAAAAATGGAATTTATAAAAGAGTCGTTCACTTCCAAGTTCCTATTACTTTACCACCAGCGTGGTGCAACTATTTGAATAATTTTATTTTTAATTTTAATCACATTTTCTTAAAAGTATTCTGATCGCAATTTTTGTATTAATTTATGAATTTTCATAATTTTAGTAGCATGTGTTTTAAAATGTCAAATCAATGTGTAATAAGAGATTGTGGCTACCGATAAAAAAAATAACGAGTTCGTTTATAACTAATTCTAAAATAATTTTATTTTTAATATGAAAATGAAAATGAAAATATTTTCAATTTCAGACAGAAATCATTTTTAAAAATGCGTTTAGTAGTTTTATAAGAGATTATTTTCAGTAAAAAAAAATTCATTAATGTCTCTATCTGCTCGAGAGAGGAGATAACGAAAACAAAAAATGAAAAACGACTAAAAGTCATTTTTCATTTATCTCTCATCTTATACCAAACCAAAAAATTATTTTCATTTATGTTTTTATCTTTAATTGTGTCAAACGCTGTTTTGGAATCGTTTTCATTTTTTTTTTCTCGAAAAACATGAAAAACAAAAATAAGAATAATTCTAAACACAATAAACAACTCAAGATTAATACAAGAAATATTTGTATAAAACTTATGCAACTTAAATAGACATGGTATGAAACTTAAATATATATATATATAATTATTTTTATATTTAGAAATACTTGGTTAACTTAAAAAAAAAAATAATGCTATTGATTCTAAGTTTTCTAACAACAAATTTACGATAATTAATTCTTTTTTTAATTTCTTCATTCACAAGATAGTTACAACAAAAAGGAACATTAGTGAGTAATTAACATATACAACAAAAATATACATTCCATGTTCAAAAACTGATAGAAACATTAAAAGAATTATGTCAGCGTTTAAAAACTCGCCAAATAATCATATCCCTGAAACAATTCCAATCAAATAAACATCCCCATTCCAAAAAAAAAAATAGTTCTTGCAAACATATATATCCACACACACGTATATACCTACAAACACAAACATAAATCCTTTCACTCTTCAAACATACGCAATATAACACTCCCAAAGTCAAAATGGAATTCTTTTTCTCTTCAATTTTAACCAAATAACCATATCCATGAACTATTTTCTTTTATTCAATCCCCTGAAATGTCAACTCACTCCAAAACAAAGAAAGAAAGAAAAAAAAAACAAGAATCAATTAGTTAATATTTGAACCTTTTTCAGATGGAATGCAATTGGAGGAGGAAATATAGTCAGGACTCCTGGTTCACAACTTCCAGATGGTTACCGTGTCCAAATGGTGGTAAATGATAAAGGAGAAAGGGAACAACATGAAGCTTAAACATGATCAAGATCCAAATGCATGAAATAGGAAGTCAAATTTTACGGCCAACTGGAGAAAAAAGACTACCCCATGATAACCACGACGGAGTTCACTCTCAAGCTGCAAAAATAGTCGACAATACTATTCGGACAATGTACAAAGAGAGCGGTTTTTCCTGGTCACTCCTAAAGCAAAGACCGACCTATAGTTTTGCCCCCGATCAGATTTGACAGTTTTGTTTTCTCAACCAAAATTAGTCGCAGAAAAATGTAGATTCATGGCACTCTAAGCTCTGAGGCATACAACACAAATTTGTCAAAATGAAGATTTACTTGTAACAGTCATTGTAAATGATATAATACATGTGTTTTTCTATTTTAATTTGAATATTCGAGGGGGAAAAAAGCTACTTCTTCAGTATTATATCCGTTTCTCTGTCCTTTCTCTGCTTGTTCTGGCCTACATTGTCAACCAAATTCTGCATGACACGTGTATTTCAAACGCGCCCCTGCTTGAGTTTCGCCTTGTGAACATGATGGAGATAGTAATCATAATCAGCTTCCCTCTCAGAATGGTTGTGCCTGTGATCATTGCGGATGCTTTTTCTCCTATGATGATTGCCGGACTTGTGATGATGCCTTGTTCCATGCTTCTGACTGTGTTTGTTGACATGAATGTGGTGGTGATGGTGGTGGTTGATATGAGTTCCATGCCTTCGAATATCCCGAATACCGTCGTCATCAGTCCAACAATGATTTTCCCACCAATCATAAATAGGATCAAAGAGTCCCTTCTGGTGTAAAAGCCATAGTAGAACAATCACTGCAGCTCAAAAGGACATTGTAACTTTGTCATTCTTCTAGGAAAAAACAATTCAAATGGAAGTTTACTTCACTGATAAAGAAAAGAATGTTACCTGTTGGAAAGATTGCCAAAAACAGACCAAACATCACTATCCAACTCATGCATATATATTGGATGTGGCATTTGAAGTCAAAAAATCCATAGCATTTTCTTCTGCCAAACAAGAAAAGGATAAATGTTTTGACTAAGTCACGGGCAGGAAATGAAAATGAGAAATAAATGCCTAGAGAAAATAACCTGCAAATTTTTCCAGTAATGAAGGCTGTCAATCCTCTCCACACATCATTCCAAATGCTTGCTATAGTCTCAAAGAAACCACTTATGCCTTTCTTTGGTGGATGAAATGGAGTATTCTGCACCAAATGAATGACTTCACAGGATCTATAGGCAATCATAGAGGTCAAACTGAATACAAAAATGGTTTCAGGGGTAGAGGGTGGCATTATTAGATAACTTATATGAGCTAAGTATCCCCACGCGGTATATGGATCTCTCATGAAGTGGATTACCCATACAAAAGGTGAAGTCAGAAAAATTTTTCAATCGGTCACTATAAAAATAAAAAATAAAAAATAAAAAAAGAAGAAAAGAGAGAATTTTTATTAGACACGAGTATAACTTATAATTATTCAAATGGAGCACAAATAGATTTTATTCTCATAACAAAATGTAAGTCTCAAAAATTGAGTGGGGCATGTACACCACTCTATCTGACGTGGCTCCATCACAAGTACATACTACCCTAACTAATATAGTGGGACTAACTCAAACTCAAAACTTTGTCGAGAAATATGAACAACCTTACCGACCTTGCTTTATATAATGATGATGAATGCACATACCTGTGTTCCATTGTCAAGGACAGTTGAAGTTGTAGCAAATTGGCACTCGGCTCTATCCACCTCATTATAATCAGAGTCCTTAAGTATAGCTGTATTTAAACCTCAACCATTAATCTAAGGTCTCATTCTCTATATGATAATTCTGATATTTCATTAATCACTATTAGTCTTATCTGCACATACATAGTTTGCAGCTTGATCAGTTGCTGGGTAGAGCTTAAATGATCTGATTATCTCTTCTTTAGGCTTCATAATAAAGAATTGTTCCTGTAAAAAAAATGTGTTTGCATACATACGTGTGTGTGTGTGTGTGTGTGTGTGTATCCTTCATCAAAATCCTTCCCCTTCATTTCAATGCAAAACGCAATAAATGTTCAATAGGAGACAAGATATTGGATTAATAATACCTCCATAAGCGTAACATCTTTGGAGCAATCAAACTGCAAGATAGGAAAAACCATCACAGCTCAAATGATGTGTTCCAGCATACGATCGTTAAGAATAAAGCTCATATACATATAAATATATATATACATATATCTATGTTTATATAATTTGGGTTTTCTATAGACGCTAAATCCCAATAGTATGACTAGGTACCTCTAAGAAGTATGGAAGTTAATTTAGCAGTTTAACAGTTCAGAAGTACAAAATTAGATAGAACGACACTTAAACAAGTTGAAAAACGACAACAAAAAGTAACATACGACACTAAAGTAAGAAACGACACCTACGTAATAAGCTAAAAACGACAACAAAGAATGAGCGACCTCTGAGGGGCAAAGCCGCACCAAAGGATAAAACGACACTAAAAAAACTGAACGACACAAGAAAACAATGGAAAAAAGAAAATGAACGACAATCACATAAACGACACTAAGATAGGAAAACGTTGCCTACTGAAATTTGACTTAACGAAACAATCAAACGATAACAAAAAGTAATAAACGGCAACAAAGAATAAATAAAGCAGAAAAGCTAAGAAATAAGAAATCGATAACAATAAGGTAAACAACACGAAAAGTGGGGGAGAACGTCGAACGTTGAAAATGGACAGCAAAAATAAACCGAAGAAAGGATGATATAAGTAAGAACAACAACAAAAAGTAAAAGAACACCTAACGATAATAATGATGCAAAGAACACGAACACCAAAAGCAAAGGAGAAAACGTTGAATAACAGCAAATAAAATAAACGACTCATAGAAGATATTTGCACCCTAAAAAGCAAGATTGATTAAAAAAACGACAAGATTGAGTTTGAACTTGAGTTTGGGGTTAAAATCTGAGTTCAAGCCCCCTATTGAACTCAAATTCCTAAACTCAAACTCAAGTTAATAAGCAATATTTTCTCTATTTTTAAAAACGTTGACTTTTTCGTTTTAATTTCGATTGAGATGATTCTTTTTCTATGCGTTCATAACGAAGAGACGAATAATACCCCACTCATATACCATATTAAAATTTTCCATGATCATTAAGTTTTTATTAAAATACTATCCAAAAATAAACTTAAATTTTGACCCACCCAAACACAAACTCAAATAGATTCCCAATTCAAACCATAACTCAAATGTGCATATCCAAACACAAACTCAAATTAGATTCCCAACTCAAACCATAATCAAATACACCATAACTCAAATCAATATTTGAACTCAAGTCACCCTAACTTAAAAAGTGCAAAAGAACAAGCCCCAAATTTTTGTTTCTTAATTAAACCTAACTTGGAAATTTTAGATTCAAAAATAAAAGAGAAATACTAACATACAGAAAGTAACAAAAAGAGTGACAGAAAGAGTGATACTAGTATTTTTCAAAATAAAACTCTAAAAGAAAAACGAAAAATCAATAGAAATACCGTTAACCCATACGATGCTTCCACTTCCCCAGTATTCATCGTTTTTATTGTAGCAACCCCAAATTGAGAAAGGGCTTCAAATGTTGGAATGTTAATGCTTAAAATCTTCCCAGGGCTCCTAAAAAAAGAGAAAACAAATAAAATAAAATATTATAAAATGGATAAAGTAAACCAAGTATAGTGAGGACTATATTACTGACAAAATCTCAAATAAAATGGACGAGAAAAAAAATAGAAGACAGAGAGATTAACCTTTGATAAACATATTCTACATCGTCAGCACTTAGTTCTATCAAGAGATTTGTATTCAGAACTTCAGTAACACCTATGGAAAAGGAACGAGTCCCTGCATTCTGAAGAAGAAAAAAAAATCTGTCAAAATAATAATAATAATAACTCCACAAAAAGAAATCCTTTCATATGCAAGTCTCGTTTTTCAGACATAACTGGATGCTGGTTTATCCTTTCAAACCTTCCTTGGACACCATATAGTGGCAGCTGCTTTCTTCTAATTCTGTTCTGGTCAGCCTGTGAACAACTTCCAAGTTTCTTGGTCAAAATGTTGAAGAAAAATTACTTGAAAATCAACGGAAGTCATAAAATAAAGAATTAATTAAAAAAAAAGATTTTCCAAACGTAATTTATATATGCTAACCTCCCAGAAATTCCACAGCTGATTATGAAGGCAACTCAAAAAGGGCGAAGAGCAGAAGTTTGGCTGGTCATTAAAAGCCTCATAACCAACACCAATTTTGTTACATTCTGTCCCATCTAAGGTAAATCTTAGTCTCTCAAGCAGCATCCACATTGAAAAGTTCCCTCCTAAAAATATATCATCTGATTTTATAATGCTAAATATAAACATAGTTAATGTAGGAGCGACACAATTCCATCCGTCTCAAAAGTTATAATTGAAAACACAACCAAACCTTTAAACACCACCTAGGTACCCTGGATCAGATTTGAGAATGCAGCTCAATCTCTACCCGTTTAAACCCTTATTTCAAAGAGTTCCTTACGAATTCATGGGAGTACCCAACAGATAGACTTATGTACTTCTCTGAAGTACAAGCCAAGTAAACCAACTCTCAAGTTCAAATATGATTTTGCATCAATGGTTAGTTTCACTTCTATCCCTCAACCTATAGTGGTCTTCTCAATTTCCAACTCTTTTTTACTGCCCGAACTTCAATTTACCACACTTGCAGTCCTTAAATTTTGAAATTTGTCTTTGTTTAATTGCACCTCTTGTCACATTCCGACAACTTTTCGGACCTAATTTTACCAACTATGAATGTCATAAATTGAGAATAAGGGATGAAATGAGAAGACCAATATAATCTAGGGGGAACAAGTGAATACTGATAAATTATTCTATATTTAACTTGTAACATGTTACTGAAGACGTTTAATTATTCCATATTTGACTTGTAACATGTTTAATTGCACCTCTTGTTACATTCCGACAACTTTTCGGACCTAATTTTACCGACTATGAATATCATAAATTGGGAATAAGGGATGAAATGAGATGACCAATATAATCTAGGGGGAACAAGTGAATACTAATAAATTATTCTATATTTGACTTATAACATGTTATTGAAAATGTTTAATTATTCCATATTTGACTTGTAACATGTTTAATTGCACCTCTTGTTACATTCCAACAACTTTTCATACCTAATTTTACCAACTATGAATGTCATAAATTGAGAATAAGGGATGAAATGAGATGACCAATATAATCTAGGGGGAACAAGTGAATACTGATAAATTATTCTATATTCGACTTATAACATATTATTGAAAATGTTTAATTATTCCATATTTGACTTGTAACATGTTTTAATTGCACCTCTTGTAACATTCCGACAACTTTTCGGACCTAATTTTACCAATTATGAATGTCATAAATAGAGAATAAGGGATGAAATGAGATGACCAATATAATCTAGGGGGAAAAATTGAATACTGATAAATTATTATATATTTGACTTCTAACATGTTACTGAAAATGTTTAAATATTCTATATTTGAATTGCAACATGTTTAATTGCACCTCTTGTTACATTCTGACAACTTTTCGGACCTAGTTTTACCAATTATGAATGTCATAAATAGAGAATAAGGGATGAAATGAGATGACCAATATAATCTAGGGGGAAAAATTGAATACTGATAAATTATTATATATTTGACTTCTAACATGTTACTGAAAATGTTTAAATATTCTATATTTGAATTGCAACATGTTTAATTGCACCTCTTGTTACATTCTGACAACTTTTCGGACCTAGTTTTACCAATTATGAATGTCATAAATTGAAAATAAGGAATGAAATGAGATGACCAATATAATCTACGGGGAACAAGTGAATACTGATAAATTATTTTATATTTAACTTGTAAAATGTTACTGAAGAATACAATAAGGAAAAAAAATAATACTTGTCTTGGTATCACAAGGTAGAAATCTTCGAATGATGGTATATTGGTATAACCAACAAAATCTCCAATCAGATTAACTCTTAGGAAATTATCATTTGATGCTACTGTCCTATTTTCAGGACCCACAAACACTTCCTAGCAAACAAAAGACTATTGTCAGCAAGCCAAAAATACATATGGTTGTCAGAAGAAAATAAATGCAAAATGTACAAGCCAACCTATATATATCTATATATATATATAAGGACAATTTATGTTCAAAAACAACATACCGAAATTTCAGATCCTGTCTTCACCTGGATCTTGACACTGAATCCCAGAGATCTCTGTCCAATACTGAAAACATGGAACCTATATGGATTGAAGACAATATTACTTTTCTAATAACGTTATAATAATTAATAATCCAAATGTTAATTAGAAATATCCTCATTGAAAAAGGTAATTAATTTAATCCGAAGAATTAGAAGGTAATATGTAAGGACCATACCAATCACCTGGGAAACGGAGACAGTGTGCAGTGTTAGGCTTCCCCTTCATCCACTTATCAACTAATGAAGACAAATTCAGAATTAGTAATTAATCACTTAATTATAAGGAAGAATCTCACAACTAAACTTTAAAATGTTAAAAAGAAAAACGATGGACTTACAAACACTTCCACACGATGAAGGCATACGCCTTTGGGGCCCACAAGGGCAACAGATTGGCTGTGGATTAAGGTAAGGAATAAGAAAATGCAATAGAAAAATAAGTAGAAGTATTGAGCAAAAATAATAATAATAATAATAATAATAAGTAGAGTACAGAAAGAAGCTTAATTTAAAAGGAAATGAATCTGGATGTCACCTCAGTGTGCTCCATAATGTGACCATTTTCATCTCGCAACCTACACAGCAAATATAATTATGATTTTAATAAGTTTTGACAGTTTGGTAATTCATAAATTTTTATAACTATAAAAAGAAATAACATCTTTATCTGTTATTACATGACATTCTTTGATTAAAGAAATTAAAGCATCTAAATCCACTAAAGAATTTTTTTTTTCCGTTAGTAATATAGAAAAAATAATTATGCGGTTAAAAATTGGTGTGCTTATACAACCTCATACTACGCACTTTACGAAACCCGTTAACACTGTCAAGGCAAATAGACCGTCAAAGTGGGACTCGAACCCACTTTCGGGGGGTTATAATGGGGTCGATTTAAACATTTCCTTCAGAATTCCATTTGAAACATCAAACAGCTTTAGTGCCCGTTTAGTTCGCTGATTCGAGTTTTTAATTCGAGTTGAGATGTGATTTTATGTGAGAGCTTTTTACTGTAGCAAAAAAGTTAGATGTGATTGTTTATGAGAGCTTTTTATTGTAACAAAACTCGAATTCTAAACTCGAATCAGCGAAATGAACGGGGCCTTAATATATATATCATCTTCTACAAGTGTTCCAGACTAAAGGGTAACATCTTTCAAGTACTAAGAGAACAAGGAAATTCATGGGAATAAAGATGAAAAGATTTTAGCAATATTTGGAGAGAGTTTTAGAGAGATTGCTTACCTCTCACATATCTTCACAACTTTTGCACTAGCTTCTGGCTCACATTTGCGTGTCTTAACGTAATACTCTTCCGGTTTATATGACACGTCCTGTGGAAAAATAAAACAATACTGAAATAATAGCCCATTTATTTTTCGGATTTGAATTATGAATCAAATTCTTTTTATTACGGTATTTTATTTCTGTTTAAACTTATGAATCAAAGACAAATGATTTTTGGATTTCACACCCGCTGATTCAGTTACAAACCCTAATATATTTATGCAAAACATATAGTAAATTATAAGCATAAATTAGCAATGAAGAAAAGTTTTTTCAGTAACGAATGTATAAGTTACTTACTCGAATATATGTAAGCTCATAAAGGGCATAAGCGCAGATTTGTTGACCGTCAAAACCGGTGGAATTCTCAAAGTTTGCATCTTTTGTGTCGAATTCTCTTCCACTTCCACTATTTCAGCAACAATTGAGGCCTCTCCACCACTCTGTTAAAATTAATACATAATAATAATAATAATAATAAATAATAATAAAACACTAAAAATAATAAAAATGAAAAATGAGAAATTTACCGAGCCACTTGGAACAGCCAAGTTAAGAACAATCTTTTTGTTGCAATTGAGGTTGTCGGAGGTTGAATTCTTCTGGCATTTCTCGAGCTTTGACTTTGAAAGAATCTGAACCCCAAACGTGACTTGCAAAGCGACCAAATTACCCAGAAACCAAATCACTGAGACAATATGCTTATTTACTGTTACTCCAAAATCCCGCTTATGATTTTGCGTTATCATTCCTTCTCTTTTGTTTTTTTCCCCCTTTGATGTCTTACTAAAACTTCGTTTGGTTCTAGAGAAATACTAGTTGAGAACCAGTGCGTTGCTGCAGAAAATATTATTGTATTATATAAAAACTTTGAAATTTTTATAGTACAGGATTGGTTTATTCATACATATATACATAAAGACATATCTATATAATATGCTACTTAAAAGTTTTTTACAATGTATTATAGGTTTTGTTTGTTTTTTTTTCTTCTGTTCTTCTTAAGTGCAAAATATAAATTAAAAAAAAATTAATAGTAATAATTAAAGAAGTTGAAAATCTTTAATTATATGTAGTGTAAATAAAAAAGAAAACATATATATAGATAATAAGTTTTTGGGATCAACTATTGAAAATTATTCTCATAAAACTTTTCCTATAATGATGTTTCTTATCATCTAAGAAATGCAAATATCTATTTTTTGTATCTTTTGAAAATGCAAATACAATATTGTAGAATAATGAAGAAAAAAATGAAAAAAAATGAAAAAAATGAAAATCCATTAAAATTTAAGTGTATTTTAAAAAAAAATTTAGATTGAAATCATAAATATTAAAAATAATTTAAAATTTATTGATTAATTGTAAAAATTAAATTAAGTACACTAATAATTTATAATTTAATATAATTAAACTTATTTAATTCTATAGAGTTACAAATTTATTTTAATTTTTTGATTAAATTATGAAATTACCCCGATTTTTAAACAAAAAAAAACCTTCAGAAGACAAATGTGATTATTATTATTATTTTTTAAAAGTAAGAAAAAAAATATGATCCTTCCTTCTCCTTTGTACCTTTTCCTTTCTCTCCTCCTCAAACAACTCCTCACCGTGAAAGTAACCTCCTTACTCCGGTCATTTCTTCTGGTACTCCTCACTTTTCACCGTGAGGTATCTGTGTTTATTTTATATTTTTATTTTGTGATCTGAATTGTTAGTTTTGTGTTCTTAGTGTGGATTCTGTTATTGCATTAGTGCTCATCACATGTTCGATAAAATACCTAACTTATTTTGTGGCATTTATTTTTTAATGTTTATTGTAAAATTGTGTAAATGCGTGTCTTAGTTCTGGAAATGTGTTTGATATGTTAAAGTATTGAGTTTGTTTATTTGTTACTTGCATAATTGGTTGTTAAATGTTTAGTTTTGAGAAACAAACGAGAAAAAAAAAAAGAATGAAAATGTGATCTGTGCTAAGTTTGGATAGCACTATAAAAACACTAAAAATAATAAAAATGAAAAATAATAAATTTACTGAACCACTTGGAACAGCCAAGTTAAGAACAATCTTTTTGGTGCAATAGAGGTTGTCTGAGTCTGAATTCTTTTGGTGTTTCACGAGCTTTGACATTGAAAGAATTTGAACCCCAAACGTGACTTGCAAGGCGATCAAATTGCTCAGAAACCAAATCACTAGGACAATATGCTTATTCACTATTACTGCAAAATCCCGTTCATGATTTTGCATTCTCATTTCTTCTCTTTTGTTTTTTTTTTTCCCTTTGATGTCTTACAAAAACTTTGTTTGGTTCTAGAGAAATATATTTAAAGGAGCACGATTATTTTGGTATTAAACGCCACAACAGCATTCGTTTCACTTTTCCATTTTGAACCAAAAAAAGACATAAAACATTGTGTGGTTAAAGCTTTCTCCGAGTATTGACGGTTTTTTTTTTTTTTGAAAAAACATGATGAGGCACTGAAAACTCAATTAAAGTCTTACTCCATTGAATATCAATATAGTAATATTTGTTTTTAAGAAATTTTTAAGGTGAACTATATATGTTATTTTAATTTTAACTATTTATAACAAAATTAGTCTTTATTAGTTTCAAAAAAAATCAAAACTTTGTATTTGCAATATTTAATTGCTAATTCTGGTAATGTAATAATTATATTTAGTTTAGCAATTATTAATGTTATATATTTATTAAGAATTATGGTAATATTATAGTTATAAATCTCAAACAATAAATAAAAATAAAAATAATTAAAAGATACAATAATTGTAATAGCATGATAAGTCAATTTCAAAGAATACTATAAGTCCCTCATAAGTGTCACGATTAATTTATTTCAAGTTGTTAGCGTTTATATCCTTATAAATAAATGTAACAATATTCTTTGAGACATTTTGACTATTAATAAAGATTTATTTATTTCATATATCCATGTATTGTCCTCTTTATGTTCATATTAGTTGAATGTATGATAAGTAAACTGAAAGTCTGAGACTGTCATTATAAATCTTTAGGTCATGCATGTAATGAGAATAACATGCGGAAGATAGTTTAAAATGATTCACAATCGAGGGAATAAAGTTGGGCGCTTTATTCATGTTAAGATTGTTATGTTGTCTACTTCCTAACGAGACGGTTTGTCTTGGTCGTCGAAGGTGGGTCTCCATAAGTAGAAACATTGATATAGTTTCTAGTGGTGAAATCTATATTGGGCCGGATCAAAATTGAATTGTTTTAATTAATAATTCCGTTTGTATAAAATAATTCACTTTTGCGAATTATATATGGTCATCTTAATTCTGAGATGGATAATGAACCTGTATGCTTGACTTGTATCCTTTGATGTACTAAAATGAGACATCCTGACATTATGTAAAAGTATGCTTACCGGTACATTGGGGATATGACTAGTGTATGCGTAGATTCGTTATTCATAGATAGTGAAATCCATAGCTCCTACAAAGAGTTAATGATATCCTCTTATGCATTATATGTGGATTGAAAAATACGAGCGCTCGGCCATTAGACTACTTTGTGTTATCTAATGGTTTACTATTTGTAATGGTACGAATATATAGTGGTTTTTCTGATGGAGTGGTAATGGAACATAAGATAAATGTAACCGGGAAGGTAAAACGGAACTTGACTTTAAGTTGATTATCCTATGAGGATGATACACTAATATATTGAGTCACGGACGATAGCTATTTAGACCTTTGTAAATGTGTCATATAAATCGATAGTGTAGCTCTAGGCTTTTAGTAGAATAGCGCTAGAGTTTTATAATCATGAGACGGACTTGTTGGTTTACAAGTAGCGTTGTGATTATAGGAGCTTAATTTATATAAGTCCATCGGGTCCCTTTGCTAGCTCACATAATTTTTCTATAACGATACGGTGTATTTCTTACATATTGGTAACTTGTGTTATTTTCGTAAAAGATGTTCAAAGTTAATATGAGATTAGTTAATTAATTCATGAGTAATTTATCGGGTGAATTAATTGATGAATTAATTCTAAATAAACTGGTTGAATTAATGTTTCAGGCTGTTTAATTCATGAGAAATTTATCGGGAGGATTAATTGTTAAATTAATTCTAGATAAATTTGTTGAATTATTATTTTAAAAGTTATTTCATATGGGAAGACTATTATATGACTGTTTTGATCAAGTAACTTTCCTATTGGGTTGCTTAAATCAAAACTGAAGCTCTGTGTAAGTTTTCCGCGTTGAAAAACTAGGAAAACGAGTTTCCCTAGTCCAAATAGGTCGACCGATTCATGAAGGACAGGTCGACCGGTGAGTTATAACTTCTCTGTCACCGGTCGACCGGTTGTAACGCGTAGCGCGTGCTGAAGTGGCAAAATTGACTCTGTAAGCGAGATAAACTTTGGAAAACCTAATTGTTACGGATATATGACTTCCTAAACACTATAAAATAGCCTAGTAAGTCACCTTATTCATTAGATCACTTGAGAGACTTTTGGGGGGCTATTGGCAAAAGATTTCTGAGAGGAAAAATTGTTTAATTCTCAAGAACGATTTTTCCTTTGACTCTCTTATGGTTGGAAGGAGTTCAAGAATATCAAGAAGAGATTGAACGACGTGTACCCACCCGCACTCCGATCGTGAAAATGAGAATAGCAAAGAAGACCAGTTGGTTGAGGCTCTTCTGGTTGCTGTTTAGAACACTTTGATCTGTCAGACGTGTTGTTTCCTAAATCTCTAAAGGTATGATTTAGATCTTTAGGGTGCGTTTGGAATTGGTTCCAAAACGTTTTTATTTTCTGTACGAAAATGAAAATGAAAACGTTTTTAGTTTCATTTTTGAATTATTTCTAAAAATGCGTTTGGTAGTTTTATTTAGAGATTGATTTCAGTTTTAAAAAAAACTGAAACTGCGTTTGGTGGTTTAATTTTTGAAAACATGTAATAATATATTAAATAAATAATAATATTAAATATATTAAATAAATAATATTATTAAATATATTA